TAAGATCAGAAATGAAAAGGGGGACATAACCACAGACACAGAGGAAGTTCAGAGAATCATTAGATCTTACTACAAAAGCCTGTATGTCACAAAACTGGAAAATGTAAAAGAAATGGAAACTTATTTAGATAAATACCATATACCAAAGTTAAACAAGGACCAGGTGAACAATCTAAATCGACCTGTTAGTCGCGAAGAATTAGAAGAGGTTTTCAAAAACCTCCCTACTAAAAAAAGCCCAGGACCACATGGTTTCATGCGGAATTCTACCAGAACTTCCAAGAAGACCTAATGCCTATACTCCTTAATGTATTTCACAATATAGAAACAGAAGAGTCATTACCAAATTCCTTTTATGAAGCTACAGTTACTCTGATACCAAAACCACACGAAAACTCAACTAGGAAAGAGAATTACAGGCCAGTCTCACTCATGAACATCGACGCAAAAATCCTCAACAAAATACTGGCAAACTGAATCCAAGAACACATTAGAAAAATTATCCATTATGATCAAGTAGGCTTCATCCCAGAGATGCAGGGCTGGTTCAACATACGCAAATCTATCAATGTAATCCATCGTATAAATAAACTGAAAGAAAAAAACCATATGATCATTTCATTATATGCTAAAAAAGCATTTGACAAAATTCAACATCCCTTTATGATAAAAGTCTTGGAGAGATTAGGGATACAAGGGTCATACCTAAATATAATAAAAGCTATATACAGCAAGCCGATAGCTAATATCAAATTAAATGGAGAGAAACTCAAAGCCATCCCACTAAAATCAGGAACACAACAAGGCTGTCCACTCTCGCCCTACCTCTTCAATATAGTGCTTGAAGTTCTAGCAATAGCAATAAAAGACAACATAAGGGGATCAAGGGGAATCGAATTGGAAAGGAAGAAGTTAAACTTTTGTTATTTGCAGATGATATGATAGTGTACATAACCAACCAAAATTCCACCAAAGAACTTTTACAGCTGATAAACACCTTTAGTAATATGGCAGGATATAAGATCAACTCCAAAAAATCAGTTGCCCTCTTATACACAAGGGATATGGAAGCAGAGAGGGAAATCAGAGAAGCTTCACCTTTCACGATAGCCACAAACAGCATAAAATATCTTGGGGTAACTCTAACCAAGGAAGTGAAAGATCTATTTGACAAGAACTTTAAGGCATTGAAGAAAGAAATTGAAGAGGATACCAGAAAATGGAAGGACCTCCCTTGCTCTTGGATTGGGAGGATCAACAAGGTAAAAATGGCAATTCTACCAAAGGCAATTTATAGATTCAATGCAATCCCCATCAAGGTTCCATCAAAATTCTTCACAGATCTTGAGAGGACAATAATCAACTTTATATGGAAAAACAAAAAACCCAGGATAGCCAAAACAATTCTATACAATAAAGGATCTTCTGGAGGCATTACTATCCCTGACTTCAAACACTATTACAGAGCTACAGTAATGAAATCAGTGTGGTACTGGCATAAAAACAGAGAAGTCAACCAATGTAATCATATAGAAGACCTGAATTTTAACCCACAAACCTATGATCACCTCATTTTCCATAAAGGAGCTAAAAGTATACAATGGAAGAAAGAAAGCATCCTCAACAAATGGTGCTGGCACAACTGGATGTCAACCTGTAGAAAAATGAAAATAGACCCATATCTATCACCATGAACAAAACTTAAGTCCAAATGGATCTAAGACCTCAATATCAGTCTGAACACACTGAACCTGATAGAAGAGAAAGTGGGAAGTACCCTACAACAGATGGGCACAGGAGATCGCTTCCTATGTATAACCCCAGCAGCACAGACATTAAGGGCAACACTGAATAAATGGGACCTACTGAAACTGAGAAGCTTCTGTAGAGCAAAGGACACTGTCACTAAGACAAAAAGGCAACCTACTGACTGGGAGAAGATCTTCACCAACCCCGCAACAGACAAAGGTCTGATCTCCAAAAGATATAGAGAACTCAAGAAACTAGACTTTAAAATGCTAATTAACCCAATTAAAAAATAGGGCACTGAACTGAACAGAGAATTCTCAACAGAAGAAGTTCAAATGGCCAAAAGACACTTAAGGTCATGCTCAACCTCCTTAGCGATCAGGGAAATGCAAATCAAAACAACTTTGAGATATCATCTTACACCTGTCAGAATGGCTAAAATCAAAAACACCAATGATAGCCTTTGCTGGAGAGGCTGTGGAGGAAGGGGTACCCTCATCCATTGCTGGTAGGAATGCAATCTTGTGCAACCACTTTGGAAATCAGTGTTTCGGTTTCTCAGGAAATTCGGGATCAACCTACCCCTGGACCCAGCAATACCACTCCTGGGAATATACCCTATCATATGACAAGAGCATTTGTTCAACTATGTTCATAGCAGTATTATTTGTAATAGCCAGAACCTGGAAACAACCTAGACGCCCTTCAATGGAAGAATGGATGAAGAAAGTGTGGAATATATACACATTAGAGTACTACGCTGCAGTAAAAAACAATGACTTCTCGAATTTTGCATGCAAATGGATGGAAATAGAAAACACTATCCTGAGTGAGGTTACCCAGACCCAAAAAGATGAACATGGGATGTACTCACTCATAATCGGTTTCTAGCCATAAATAAAGGTCACAGAGTGTATAATTGGTGAACCTAAAGAAGCTTAATAAGAAGGTGAACACAAGGAAAAACATATAGTTATCCTCTTGGCTATGGGAAGTAGACAAAATTGCCGGGGAGAAAATTGGGATCTTGGGGGTGGGGTGGGATGGGGGTAAGGGGAGATGGGGAGAGAAAAGTGAAAAGGGGAGGACGGGGGGAACTTGGGGAAACAGGATGATTGGGATAAAGGCAGGTTGGATAGGGGAGCACGGAAGCACAATTCTTAGTTAAGGGAGCCATCTTAGGGTTGGCAAGAGACTTGAACCTAGAGTGGCTCCCAGGAGCCCAAGGCGATGTCCCCAGTTAGTTCCTTGGGCGGCTGAGGATAGGGAACCTGAAATGACCCTATCCTATAGCAATACTGACGAATATCTTGCATATCACCATAGAACCTTTATCTGGTGATGGATGGAGATAGAGACAGAGACCCACACTGGAGCACTGGACTGAGCTCCCAAGGTCCCAATGAGGAGCAGAAGGAGGGAGAACATGAGCAAGGAAGTCAGGACCACGAGGGGTGCACCCACCCACTGAGACAGTGGGGCTGATCTATTGGGAGCTCACCAAGGCCAGCTGGACTGTGACTGAAAAAGCATGGGATAAAACCGGACTCTCTGAACATGGCGAACAATGAGGGCTGATGAGAAGCCAAGGACAATGGCATGGAGTTTTGATCCTACTTCATGTTCTGGCTTTGTGGGAGCCTACCCAGTTTGGATGTTCACCTTCCTAGACATGGACAGAGGGGGGAGGACCTTGGACTTTCACAGGGCAGGGAACTCTGACTGCTCTTTGGACTGGAGAGGGAGGGGGAAAGGAATGGGGGGGGAGGGAGAAGGGTGGGAGGAGGCAGAAACGTTTTTCCTTTTCTCAATAAAAAAAAAATTTTTAAAAAAGAAGTTTTCTAAGTGATTATAAAGTACATAAAAGGGCAGGAACACAATATCTCACATAAAGATACTAACCACCCCATCCTCTGATTTATTATTATTAGTTTTTGAGCCAGAGTCTTGTTATATATGTTACATGCGTATATAGCTCAGGATGGCCCTGGGTTGGCAATGCTCAGGTTTTCTTATTGTAGAATATTAACTTTACTAGGCAAAGATGAGTTACATTTGTTTTTGCTGCGTTTGTTAACAACAATGTTAAGATGTGTTATATTTGTTTGTCCTGCATTTGTTTAATTCTCTAATAATGTGCTGCATTTGTTTCACCTTGCCTACCTAAGGTACCTGACTGGTCCAATAAAAAGCTGAATGGACAATTGCTAGGCAGGAGAGGGAGGATAGACAGGCTGGTGGGCAGTGAGAATAAGTAGGAGAAAGGAGAGAAGAGAGAAGGAGAGAAGGAGGGAAAAAGAGGGACATGGCTAGAGCCAATTCCAGGCAGCGACCAGCCAGATGTGAGAAGCATTGAAAGCATGATATAGAGAAGGAGAGAAAGCTAAAGAGCCCAGAGGCAGAATGTAGACAGAGAGAAACAGGTTAGTTTAAGGTAAAGAGAGCTAGCCAGAAAAAAGCCTAAGCTAGTCTGAGTATTCATAACTAATGAGAAGTCATGAGCTGGTTGGTAGCTCAAAAGAAAAAGCCTGTTACATCTTATCTCTAGAGTTTTAGGGTTAGAGATCTGCACCACCAGAAGAGAACATTTATTTGATAAAATAGCTATAAAATACCTTACAGTCATTCTTAGAGACAGGGCTTAATATTTACCAACCCAACTACATAAAAACTACATGTAACATATAGTCACAATTTGATTATTTAGCAATTATACAGCAACACTACTCTACAAAAGTGTTAATGAACAGATAAATATGTGGCACATATCTACAGTGGAATATTATTCATCCATTAAAAATGATGAAAATTTGTTATTTCTATCAGCCTGGGTGGATCTAAAAATTATTATGTCCAGGGAAAGATGCCGGCACAGAAAAACAAGTAACTGTATGATCTCGTTCATATGTGAAATGTAAGAAGGGTGACCAAATAGGGGGATAACAGTAGCAACCAGAGCCTAGAGAGGAAGAGGAAGGGGCAGAGGACCAATGAATACTATGCTACAGTCACATGGGGACAAAGTGGCTCTGGTGTGCTCCTGCTAAAGCGTGATTACAGAGAACACTACATTTCAGAAGGACAAGATTTTAAAAGTTGTCACCATAAAGAACTAATTATTTGAGTTGAATGTTATGATTAATTTAATTTCAACATTACCCAATATATTCCTGAATAGCAACATTATAGTAACAGAAACAGTTTTTATCTTCTTATATCTTACTTAAAAACACTTTTGCGTATATGCTTACTTTAATGTCTCAGCAAGAAAGAAGCTCTGCTGCACGTCATCGTGTGTCGGAGTGAGGGAGTACACATCCTTGACTCCGGAAAACCCACCACTGACTCGGCAATACTTTTCAATAGCCTGTGAAGGAAAGCAGAGAGGACAATTAATTCTGTGGAATTCAATTCTGAAGGACAAACTGAAAGATTGCATTCAAAAGTTCATAGAAAGGATAGGCATAATGGCCTTGCTGGGAAGCAGACATATGGACCTCTGTTGAGTTCGAAGCCAGCCTGGTCTTCTACAAAGTGAGTTCTAGGACAGTCAGGGCTATATAGTGAGACCCTGTCTCTATCAAAAAGAAAAACAAACGCTTATATAAATCTGTAAGAAAATTGATCAAACTGATAATATATTAAGTCTAAGCATAGTGTTATTGAATAGAAATATTCTCATACTGGAAAAACAATTTGCAATGGGATGTCTTTCCCTAATACTATAATCTCTCTACAATAAGCTTATGTTTTCCTGACTTAAATGTCAAATTTGACCTATTCTTTCTGAATTAGGGAGTTGTCTGGCACAAAGATAGAAGCTAGCTTGTAATAGGAGTAGAGGAAATGGCTAATAAAGCACTTGTCCTGGAAAGTGAGGACCTGAATTCAGCTCTCCAGAATTCATGAAAAAAGCAGAGTGCAATGGTACACATCTGAACTCCACATACACATGCATGAGTACACACACACACACACACACACACACACACACAATAAATTTCAATGACCACTTCTAAGAACATATACCCATTCAAATATCCTAAAAATTTAGGAGCTTTAAACAATAGTGGTAACAGGAGATATTTATTGTAACCATACTCTATTCTGAGACACTGTATCCCCAAGTCTAATTAGTTAGGCACCATAGGTGGTGAGAAGTAGCAGGAAATGCACACCTACAAGCCTAGACAATAATGACTACTATTTAGGAGTTAACAATCTGCTGAAGGCCATTTGAAGAGCTTCATATGCTCTGGCATTTAAATTTCATAATCCTAGGAGGTTAACAGCTCTACTTTTCAGATGGAGAAATTGAGCTGAGCAATTCGTTCTCTCTTAACTATTGTGTTCTAATACTTGACTAGAATTTAAAATACTTATTGTATATTTTTTCGTGTGTCCTTGAACATGCATAAATCAAATGTATTAAATCAAAAACAATCTACTTACAACTCTACTTTTAAGTTAAAGCCACCGAATATCTTGCTGGTGCAGATGGCACACTTCAGGGCTGGACTGTTCAGGAAAAGCCGAAAGCACTCGAGGCTCTTTCTTCAGCTCCTCTGTCTAACACCGAGCACTGTGCAATGAAGGCGCAGTACTTCCCTCACCACTGCTGCTGCGACGTCTTCCTGCCCTACTCTCCTACTCTCCTGGCCTTCTTTTCTACCGGAAAGCTAGCTAACAACAAAAAGTGCTTAACTAAGTTCTTTCCCTTTTTTCTTTTCTTCTTTTTTGTTTTTTTTGTTTGTTTGTTTGTTTTGTTCCCAGCACCTACATCAGAGGGCCCAGAATCACTTGTAATTCCAGTTCCAGAGGATCCGCCACCTCTTCTGCCCTCCAGAGGAATGCACACTCATGGGATATATACAAATAATAAATAAATGTTTTTGTTTGTTTTAAAGACTAGCTCATCGTCATATCAGAACATTTTAGGCCCAGGCAAGCTTTGGGCTCACTTAGCAGCCTAGTCTAGTTTCATACTTATGACAGCTCCTACCTTAGCCTTCTAAAGGTTAGGATTATAAAAGCAGGTACTACCACACTCAATGTGAATGTTGACTACTGAAGAGTAAATGGACTGCTTCCTTTACTACTAACCATAACAAATTCCTGCTTCTGAATACTCTCTCTCTCTCTCCTTCTATGTGTGTATGCCACATTTTGTCTTTTAACCTATTTCTAAAAACAATTTACTGGTCCACACAAGAATTATTAGAATGCAAGGTAAAATGAAAAAGAATCATCTTCCCAGACTATGAATCTGGGTTAATATGACAATGCTTTTTTCCTCAGTGGTTAAACATTAAAAAGATATAATAAAAATAATATTGCTTATTCTGTAACAGCATTGGGAGACTGCCTTTTAAATAACACCTGATAGTTGCTTACTAGAATAGCAAGTGAATGCTGCTATGAAAATACTGATAGAGAGCAGACAGGAGTCTAAGGCTCGTTTGAACTGCTCAACAAACAAACTGAGAACAGTTTCTTCCCCAGAGAAAGGAAAACGTACGTTTCTTGAAACCAAGTAGCCGGGATGAGGATAACATGGTTCAGGGGCAGCCCTGCCCAATCAGCTGAGACAACAGAAGTAAGTGTACTTACCAGTGCTGCTTCCCAGCCCCACTGCCTGTATCTTGGGTCGTGGGTGAAACGCCACAGATACCAATAGGTTTCGATTACTTCTGGACGGAGGATGTAATACTTCTCAGCTTGCCGCACAGCCACAGCTTCTACTGCACCATCAAACTTGAAGGACTCAGGACCTAGTTTTAACGCTGTAATGTGTCAAAAAAAAAAAAAGGCGACATAATGTGTGTGTTTTAAAGAATACCTACTGTTTTCTCTAAAAGGAAGAAGTATGAAGTAATCATTATCCTTTGTGGGGTTTTTTTTTTTGGCTTCCTACTGTTTTAATTTTTATTTATTTATTTGGTATTAAAAAGACAGATATAGATGGACATTTCTATCTTGTCTGGTCCAGCAGCCATTCAGTACCAAAGAAACACACAGAGATTTATATTACTTATAAACTGTTTGGCCTGTTAACTCAGGCTTATTATTAACTAGCTCTTAAAACCTAAACTAACCCATAATTCTTACCTATGTTTAGCCATGTGGTTTAGTACCTTTCCTCAGTGTAGCATTTTCATCTTACTTCCTCTGCATCTGGGTAGTGACTGCAAACTGAGCCTTTCCTCTTCCCAAAATTATCCTACTCTGGTCGTCACACCTATACTTCTTGCCTGGCTATTGGTCAATCAGCATTTTATTAAACTAATATGAGTGACAAATCTTTACCTCATACAAAAGCATTATCCCACAGCACTCAGAGTCTCTCACATATTAGGCTGAGCTACACCCCAGTCCTGAAGTAACTTTGGTTATTTTTATTGTTACTGTTTTACAAAAGTAGTTTCAAAAGAACCACATTTTCCTTCTAACAGAATTATAAATATTTGTATGCTCTGGCACGAAGTGTCTCTCAGTGCAATATGCATCTCTGATTCTATCAAGAGCTAAGCAGTACCTAGAAACAAATGCAATCCATGAACACGGATACTACCCGTCCCTTTACTTGTGTCTTCAGTCATTTCATCAATATTTTGTAATTTTCAGCATACAATTTTTCTCTTTGGTTAAATCAATTCATAAAGTATTGTTATTATTGTGGGAGGGGGGCATGGAGGCGTATGCACACAGGTGTGAGTGTGCAGACACTGCACGTGAAAGGCAAGGAGAGGAAGGCATTAAGCATCCCCTTCCATCACTCCTTGTTGAGTTCCTCTGAAGTAGACTCTTGCAGTGTTTCAGCAAGGCTTGCTTTCACCAGGCCCCAGTCATCCTTCTGTCTCTACTTGTCAGTCTTGGGGTTAAAGAAACACCCAGGCCCAGGTCTGGCTTTTAAGTGGGTGCTAGAAACTCTGATCCTCAAGACTGGACAATAAAGAGCTCTCTCTCCCCAGCTCCAATTATTTTATCATTTTACATTATCATAAAGAGGGTTCTTTTCCTGATTGCTCCCTCCAACAGACTGATTAGCATAAAGAATAAAACTGATTTTTGTACATTGACTTGTATCCTATCACTGCACTGGATTAGCAGGGTTTTGTGAGTGTGTATGTGCAGTTTTCATTAGGATTTCCTACTTACATATCACCCCATGTGGAAATCAGGATGATTTTTCTTCTTCCTGTCTGATCTGAATGCCTTTAATTTCTTTTTCTTGTCTGACTATTCTTGCTAGTAATTTCTAGTACTATATGGAACAGACTCTGAATTCAAGACCATTCTTGGTACATAATGAAACTCTGTTAAGAATAAATAAACAAAACTATTTTTTAAAAGTCCAACACCATAAGCATTGAGATGAAATTTTTAAATGAAACTTAGAGCCATAAGAAAATGCAGTAGAGTATAGAATAACGAGCCAGCTTGAAATATATGAAAACTAGGGTTGTACTTTCTAATCCAGGGATCTAAGCTGACAACAAAGATAATTAAAACCAGTGAAAGACTTAAAAGTACAAGGCACAAATCAAACAGTGAGCTTCTGGGGATACCATGACAAAGAGGGCCACAGGTTCAACTTGCTAAATAAAACTGACTCTCAAAATATGAGACTGTTCAACAGTGCTATCAGAAACACGACTGTCGGGAATACAAAGGTCCCTGCCAGTCCTCTGGAATTCCATGGGAGTCTCAAAGGCAGAGCCGTGACACTCTATTTAACCTGCACACATCTAGCATAGCAGTCTGCATATAAGGTGCCCCTGCTTAAGGGAATAAGTATTTCTAGTAACTATGGCATGCCTTATTCTTAGTATACTTGCTACAATAAATTTGGTGTTTAGACCTAACCATTTGTAGTCAAAATCTTCATGACAAAAGCTTAACTGCCCATTGGCAAATATTTATGCTAGTCCTCAATGTCTCACTAATATTTATGCTAGTCCTCAATGTCTCACTAATATTAGTTTCACTTTTACATTTTTATTAGCTTACAAAAAAATTGGGTTCCATTATGGTGTTTTCAAACAAAATTTGTTGTTTCTCTCCCACATTTTTTCCCTATTCCACCCTCTTTCATATTCCCTGCCTTGTACCCTCCATCCCACATTCATGTCACAAATGTCACATGACCTCATCACCACCTGTTCCCCTCCTGTCTACCTAGTTTCCTAATCTCTCCCCACTCTCACAACCCCTTACTTACATACATGCAAACATTAAAAGTTATATCTGCATATGAGCAAAAATATGTGATTTTCATATTTCTGAGACCGGGTCACCTTACTTTCCAGATCCACCCATTTTCCTGAAAATTACAGCAAACACTGCTGGCAAAACTGAATGTCTACCCAGAGAAAAATAAACTTTAGCCCAACTTTCACTTATCCCAGAACACCAAAGGTGTTAACTCCAAACCTGAACCCCTGAAATTGCTGGTGGAAAAGCAGGGAATATATGTGAAATTTCAAGTACAGAAACAAGAACTTTCTGAACAGGACTCCAATAGTACAGGAGATAGTCCCAAGAGGAAACAAACAGGACTACATGAAACTAAGAAGTTTCTGCACAGCAAGGCAAACTATCAGTAGAGCAAACAGAATGGAGAAAAATCTCTGCCAGTAATACCTCAGCTAGGAGGTTGACAACTAGCATATATAAAGAACTACAAAGCCCAAACCTAAAACTGATAATTGATAAATGGGCTAATAAAATGAGCAGACACATCTCAAAAGAAAGCACACACATGGCCAAATATTTTTTAGCCATTAAGGAAATGGAAATTAAGGACATCACTTTGGGACTCTGTCTCACCCTAGCCAGAATAGTTATGGTTAAGAAAACACAACCAGCATGGCACAGTAACACTACACGTAAGGAAAAGCACGAATACCCTGGTCATAATACATGCTCTCCAATTGCACTTAAGCTCCACTCAACAAGAAGGGTACCATGCCTTCTTGTACTGGAAACCTAGCCAATCACTAGGTGCTACTGAAATCATGGTTACTGGAGGAGAATCTACAACCATTAATTTACTCAACCAGTATAATCCCTAACAACAATCTGTAAACATCTGTCCTTATACCCACAGGTAAATGTAGTCTTCACCCCTCATCAAGGAAACCTCTGTTTGCACAGAAACCACTACAGAAAACCACAGCCAATCAAAATGCAGAGTCATGGAGCCCATTCCCAATGGATATATCTACAAAGTACTCTCATATCTGGGGCTCACTGAGAAAGAGGAGGCAGAAGTCTGTAAGAGCTAGAGGACTGGGGAGCTGTTAGATTGTGTCTCCTAGTAGCATCAGAAGCTACATCTGTAAAGTCACATCAACATGACTGCCCAAGCGAGAGCTGAACAAGTCTGACACCAATAGACATGCCAAACTGGATGGGGAAAAGCCCGTGAGGTCTCAACCCTGCACAAAAAAACTATAGGCAACTGAGTAAAGCTGGGAGCAGGAGAGGTGGCCCTTCCTAGGGATGGTACACCATCTGGATGTCCAGTGCCAGTCAGCCCTAAAAACACATAAACAAGTAACATTATATTGACTGAACAAGTTATATTTAGGAATATATATGTATAATATACATATGTGTATAAATTAACAATTAATTTAAAAAAGGCCATGAATTTGAAGGCGAGTTGGGAGGGACACATGTGGAGGGTCTGGAGGGAGGAAAGGGAAGGGTGAAATGTAATTAAATGTCAATCTCAAAAATAAACAAGAATGGGAGGGAGGGAGGGAGGGAGGGAGGGAGGGAGGGAGGGAGGGACGAACCTTATGGGGTTATGGGGAAGAGGAACCCTTAAGCCCATGTATGCATGCATCTAGCTTGTTTTCTTCTTTTATATAATCCAGGGTTCAAACCCAGGAAACGGTGCTCCCAACTTTTAGAATAGGTCAAGACAATCTTCCAAAGACATGCCTACAGGCCAACCTAATCTAGACAAGTCTTCATTGAGACTTTCTCTCCAGGTGATTCTAGATTGTGTCAAACTGATAATTAAAACTAACCACTAACCAACAGGTGGTTCCTCAAAAAGTAAAAGCAGAACAACTGTATGAGCCAGCTCTACTCCTCCTGGTATACCAAAAGGATTCTATATCGTACTACAGGATATTTATACATCCATGTTCACTGCTGTTCTATCACAACCATAGGGAACTGGAACTAGCTGAGATGTCCACCAACAGCTGAAAGAGAAATAAAATGTGGCACAGATGCACAATAGAACTTTACTCAGCTGTTAACTACATTTTAAGTGTATAACTCACACTCCATATTATCATTATGATAATTTAATTTGTAAATCAGGTCACTAACTGTCTTAATACCATCATTAAACTACATTGGAATAACATGTTAATATTCTTTTGAGCTCTTTTTTTTTAAAAAAAAAAGTAAAACCACTTATTTGGATAACTAGAGAATTAAAGGATCAATTTCACCTTAAATTCCACCCCTTACTATATAAAAATAACTCAACAGACTTACGAACAAGGACAAAATTCAAGCCTACAATATCTGCATCATGGTACTTAATGACAAATTAACTCTGAAACAGAAATTCATTTACTACAGAAAAGCAACGATTCAACTTCTAAAACCACAAAGAGGCATTACAAGTTTGTAGGATTCCAGGTCACTAATTATTTCACATAGGAAAACGTGTTTGTAACCACTCTGGAGGTGGAGGCAAGCGGATTTCTATGAGTTCAAGGCCAGCCTGGTCTACAAGAACTAGTTCCAGGACTGGCTCCAAAACTACAGAAAAACCCTGTCTCAGAGAGAAAAAAAAAAAATGAAAATCATGTTTGGAAAGCCAAACTAAACTGCAAGTCTCACCCAGTGCTCTGCAGCCCCCCGCCCTTTCACTACTGTACCCATAAAAAGCCCTTCTACATAGTGAATAGCCATCCGTGAATGTATAAAGTATCTGTGTTTTGAATCAATTTTTGTCAACAATAAAAACCATCTTGACCTCTAAAACACAGAAGATCAAAAAATATTATATATTTTCCCAAAGCAATGCTGGAGGATTTTCTTCCTTTCTTTTTTTTTTTTTTTTTTTTTTTTCGAGACAGGGTTTCTCCGTAGCTTTTTGGTTCCTGTCCTGGAACTAGCTCTTGTAGACCAGGCTGGCCTCAAACTCACAGAGATCCGCCTGCCTCTGCCTCCCGAGTGCTGGGATTAAAGGCGTGCGCCACCACCGCCCGGCTGGAGGATTTTCTTGAAGCAAACATAAATATTACTAGTGAACCAAGACAATCTGTCTGACAGTCAAACAATAACTGGACTTTGGAGGTGATGAGGAATCTATTTTGGTTCCTTTTATTTTCTATTTCATTTTTTTCCCCGAAACAGGGTTTCTCTGTAGCTTTGGAGCCTGTCCGGGAACTAGCTCTTGTAGGCCAGGCTGGTCTTGAACTCACAAAGATCGCCTGCCTCTGCCTCCCAAGTGCTGGGATTAAAGGCGTGCATTACCACCGTCCAGCTTCCTTTTATTTTCTTAAGAGTAGAGGCACAGTGATAAAAACTAACAGTTTTGGATTTTATTAGAAAAATATCATTTGTACTTACAACAATTAGTTTCTAAATATTAAAGAATAAAACAAACAAAAATCTCCCAAGAATTCAGAAATTTTAAAAATGAAACCTATTCCTGGAATTAAAACAAAAGTTGAGAAAAATTATCTGCTATTTTAGTGTGCAGTATTTTGAAGTGAACAGTACAAGTATACTACATTTTCCTTCTAATTTCTGGAAACATGTTTAACTGAGGTTATTTTAGACTAAGTTACTAAAATAGCCTTATTAATATTCTTACCAGTTCTGTCATATGACTCATGACATGTTCGTGCAATTTCTGCCCCTAGTTCTAGATAGTGGCCAGCTTTGTCCTTCCTGGAACCATCTGCTCCAAGTGCAAACATTCCCCCAGCAAAGCAGGCCAAGTGCCCCATCTTCCTTTCCAAGTGTCCATTCTTCCATTCTCCAATGAAGACAAGACCTCCTCGGGATTTCTTGATAAGATGTTTTTCTATAGCCTTCGAGAAAAAGATAAACAATTTACACACTGACTGTTCTGCTTAGCTTTAACTGTCAATTTGACATAACCTAAAGTCACCAAAGGGGATAGTCTTAGTGAGGAATCATCCAGGTTGGTCTGAGGCCATGTCTCGTCTATGCCTATGGGGGACCTTTTCACAGGCTGGCCCTGGACTGTGGAAGAGAGAAGAGAGCTGGCTGAGCAAAAGCACACAGGCATTAGGAAGGGCCCACTCTGCTCTTGGCAGTATACTTTAGGTTCCTGCCCATACACAACAACGGGCTGTAACATAGATTATAAGTCAAATAAATCTCCTCCTCCCTGTGTTATTTTTGGTACGATAATGTCACTGCAACAGAAATGAAACTAGAACACAAACTTCGAGTGTCTGGACAGTGTCTGGACTTTTTGGCCAACACGAAGTCTTGGTATTATGATATTTTATAAAGGAGTAACTTTCACAAACTGCAAACCCAGTTTGTAAGTAAAATTTTAATGAGTAATCAAAGCGTATAAAACCTGAAACAACATCCTAATCACGACTGTAATCAAAGCAGGAGAGGAGAGATATGTATGGCCTCTGAGTGCTTCTCTGTGTGATATTACTTATATAGCTTGTCTTCTTGAGGTAAATGAGAGTTATAATAATTAATCAACAGAGGTCATCCTAAGAAGTTATAATCCAAAAGGTTCTATCAATTCATTTTCTATTCCAAACAACAAAAACCGAAAAGATTGAATAAGTAAAGATAAAATAAGGTTTTAGTAAATAGTTAAAACTGTTAATTTTTCATGTAGCTATGCCACTTAGCAAAGTAATTTTAAAAAGCATAATATACCTTGCACATGAGAAAGCTTTCAAAACTAGTTGAAACTTAATATATACATCCCTTAACTCCTTAGAAAACTGGTTTCTCAAAGTCAGGTCATTTGATTTGGATGTTTTGTCACGGATAAAAGGAGATAATCTCAAAATCAGGATACTCTCCTAGAATGTCAGTTTTACTAAAGAGATAATGGGGATAGCAAAGGAAATATTTTACACTAAACTTAAATACAAGAAAAGTAGAGCATAACAATCACATTTCATTTTAATAATGAGAATTTTATGAGCTTTGCTCCCCTAGACCATGTCCTTAGACTGTTAAGAGGGTCAAGCTTTTCTTTCTGAAAAAAGATATGTACTTTTTCAAGGATTAATTTACATTTTGGTTTTAGGCTCTTTTCTGACATGTTCAATAACATGCAGCTCTGGAAAAAATACACCTTATATTCTCTGTAATGACAATGTATTTTACAGAAATGTAGGGATTATGCCTTCATCACTGTATGTTCCAGAAAGCCTGTTATAATGTTCCACATACTCAATAAATAATTTTATAAATGATAGTGCTCTTAGCTAATTAGATCTGGTTGATAAACACAATGATAAGAAGCTGATAATCAAATGATATGGATGATCACCAGATTGCAAGTTTTTTTTTGTTGTTATTTTTTAACCATGATATTCCCAAATGTATATATTTAAAAGATCAGTCTTTTGAATGGAGAGGCTAAGAGTCTTATCTTTATGAGTCAAGTGATATTAACACAGCTTCAACACACATAATAATTGCCTAAAGAGTTGGCTGTAATTTTTTTTTTTTTGCTTGCTTGCTTTTGAGACAGGGTCTTATGAAGCATAGGCTAGCCTCAAACTCATAGACATCTTCCTGCCTCTGCCTCCTCCTGGGAACTGGGGTTAAGAGTGTATACCACCATATTTGGAGAGTTTTAACTTTTTGCATAATGTTCACATTGTTTTTGTCATTTCTGGTCTTTACAACACAAATCTTACTATGCTATAAGACAGCCAAACATGCTTATGAACTTACTAGGACTAAAGGAAGGGCAGGTGAAGACAGGGCTTTGCATCCTTAACTACCTTCAGGGTGACTGAGATCGACTTTACTGCACTCTTCTCTCTAAAGAATATAACAATGTCTTACATAAAATGCTAACCGTTGAATGGCAGTTAGGGATAATCATATCACGTTTACACATTTCCACTAGTATTACAATAGTTGCCTGGATGCCAAAGGGCCTTTAAAATGTATATTTAATACACTATCTTAAAAAATGAAAAGACTGAATGTAAATTTGATCTAAAACCTATAACAACACTAAGATGAAGAAATCAGGATTACAGGAATCTGTAGAAGAGAGAAGAGCAGGATGGGAATGGAAGCATTTTAAACATAATATCTGAGAAGTGACATAGAACTCAGATTGCAATCTTAAAACACTCAGCCAATTCTATTTCTTCTATGAACTCAATGTTATTTTACAGTTCAAAACACTCTCTTAACAGGAGTATTGCTGAAGATAACAAAGCGCAAAAATTGTATAGATGAGATCATATTTTGAAATGAAATTTGATCAATTATTATTTAAAAAATAGTAAGAACCCATTCTAAATGTAAAAACTAATAAAAATAGGATGGAAAAAACAAATACATAAAGTTGTGTACATATAGTATATGGTAATGGAAAATATTTTTATATTTATGATTAACTTCCAAAACAATCATACCTATTACAAGTAATGAGTATATAAAACATAAACTATTTTAAAAGTGATAATTCAAAATAATAAAAATATTTTTTTCTTTTGAAAATAAAGGTAAAAAACCATTTTAGGTTAAGAATATACGAAAAAATAAAAATGATTTAATATGTGATAAATGCCATAATTTTACAAAAATACATTCATTCAAGTGTCTACAGTACCTATTATATTTGGGCTATTTGTACTGGGTACAGACACTGATAAATTACTCTCTATTCTTTAAGAAGCTGGGGAAACTGATTAAGAGCTATTTTCAAACATCACTATGATTCTAAAATAGTTTAGAAAATTCTTAGATCATAACTTTTCTAGGCTTAAATTTTCACAGAGAAAATAAAATTTTGCAGTTTTCCAAATTTAAGGCTCCAAAGAAAATTTTAGAAATGTTTAAAGTAAACTTTAACTCAGGGCTGGTGAACAAGGAACTGTGCATCACGGTTCACCCCACACTAGAGCACACTCAAAACAACGGCAGGAAATCAGCTGCCAACAAAGTAAAGGATGTAAAATGGGTAATAAAGATCTTTGGTTTGATCTTTAAACTTACAAAACTACAATGCTGAAAATAGATCACTATAACAGAAGGACTGTGTTATATTAAAATCATCAAAAATATTCAGATTTCCAATAGATCAGAAAGTCAGTAACTTATTAAAATGATTAAAATTTCTCTATCTTATAATTTTTTTTTGTAAAATTTCGTAGAACTAACTCCAGGCCTTTAAGCTGTCATAGATTTACCAAACAATATAAAGAGTGATGAAGAGGACAGGCTCAGTTCCAGACTCTCAGCTCTGGGATCCTCACCAAGGCACTTGAGCACTGTGTCTTAAGTGACGACAATAACCAAATGGAGTCATCTATGTAAGTGGGTCAGAACAATGCCTGGCACAGGGAAACACCACACAAGTGGGCACCATCACAAGTCTTTACTCAAAGACTCTCACCGTATAGAGAGATATATCTCTGTATCTCTTAAGCCATCACTTTAAAGAAGAAACATTCGCAGGTAAGGATAAAGTCAGTAGTTTTACTAACTGTAATTAAACAATGTTTTATATATACACTCACTACACTCTTCAATTTTCATTAAAATGTCACAAATAAGAATTAAAGTAGATATATTCTATTAAAATACAAACTTTGGTGAATGAACATGTTTATGTATATTACATATATTTTCTAAATGCCTACAATAAAACCATTAATTTGTTCAGCACTATGTAATATTCAATACATATAGTCACTATTTGAAAATATTCAAGCAATAATCACCTCAACAGCATCATCATACATCCTTCTTGCCTCATGGTCTGTCTTATCTGACATCAGCCATGCTTTCAGTAAGTATTCATAAAAACTATCTCCCAAACCACCAACCGATGTGTGATCTGTAGCAAAAGAGAAAAGAGGACATAAGTGGGAGAAAGGGACGATAAAGACAATTAAAATAATAGTTTTCAATAATATTTAACAGATTAATTAATCATACTGCCATGCCTACTTCCAACATATTCTACTTAGTCAAGTAGAAGCACATTAGGCTTCCCTATATATGTGTCTAATTTTCTAGGAAATCTTTTTCTCCTCTGTAAGTGATATTTTAAATTATACAGTTTATACATTGTTTCCCTGCCCCAGACTTCTGTAGAAGTAAAATAATTATCTTTTATACAATAATGACTTTAAATACACAGCCATCATTAAATGACACTTATATTTGCTACTAAACAAAAGACACTCACTCCTAAACATCTAGACAACAACATCTAGTGGAAAGTCCTGTTTGGAAAGTAAGAATCACGTTGCAATATATTTTCTAATTATAATTAGCTTTTGAGTTCTGTCATTGATATTTTTCACTTATTAGTACACATTGCTTTTTCATAGGTATATTCTTACCTATCACTCACACCTTTAAACTAGAGTACCAAGGCAAACACACTGTGATACCTCACTTTTTTTGTAAATGTACAGTTTTGCTGTACATTGTGGGATTTTAATCACAAAAATCCCATTGTCCCTGTACATAAAGAAAAACACACCACCATGTATAAACTTTCAGCCAGTCAGACAGTATACCACAGGAAGGGGAGGATGCTAGTCAGAAGCTTATAAGGAAAACTTGCAATTTGGCTTCAGGAAATGGCATGCTAGAATTTATCTTTTCAGATCATAGAATATACCTGTGAACTATTAACGATACAAAACTGTAAGTAAAGCAGAAGAGAATATAAAGAACACTTCTGGATTTCCTAGGCAGATGCGCTTAAATACAAAATGAAAGAGTCATAAAGGAAAAGTTTTAATTTCCTAGGACACAAACTAAACTCAAGAGAAATAAACCTGAAAGGAAGAAACTGAGTAGAATGTAACCGCAGCATGTAGGGGATGAAAACAGGGCAATGCCCTACGTAAAGACCTCTGGCAAAAAAAAATAAGGCAAACGAAAGAAGAACTCAAAAATTAACAAAAGAAACAAGACTCAGTCACTACCTAAGAAAACACACTCAACTCCAGCATCCAGAGAAAAGCCAAGTAAAATAACAAGATTCCACTACTATCTAGCAAGTCCCCAATAATATGTTTAGATTTTATTACATTATTTGTATATAAATGAACATATATACCACAGCATGTGATTATGGGGTGATTCTCTCCTTACACCAATGGGTCAATCAAGATCAATCTTCAGGATTCACAGCAAGTGCCCTTAGCTGCTGAGCCATCTTGACAGCCCAACAAGTGAGTGAGTGAAAGACAAAGAGAAGCGTGGCGGGGGGGGGGGGGGAGGAAAGAGAATCATCTATCTATCTATCTATCTATCTACCTACCTACCTACCTATCTTCCATTCATCCGTGTTGCTAACGATTGAACCCGGGACCTTCAATATGCAGGGTAAACATTCTACCACTGTACTATATCCTCAGATGTCTCAAGCATTTTAAAAGGCACACTATCCAATGCTTACAATATAATTCATAACTGTTAGGACTGGAGGTAGATACCAAAACTTAATATATGACTCTAGTTCTGGAATTACTCTATAATATGACCTAAAAAGCATAAATACAGGTGTTAAAACATCCACTACAGAATCGTTTGCACTTGTAGAAAGTTAAACATAGCCTGAAGTTGATAAAGAAAATGAGTATAAATATAGTACAGTACAGTACATGATAATTAAAAAGAACCACATGTCTGTAATCTCACACTGAAGGGTATCTATTTTTACACTGCTAAGTGTGAAAAAGGAGCAGGCTCAGAATAATATTTATAGTCTGACATTGCTAAAAATTATATATTAAAGAATGTTAGGGTACAAAGTCGTTGAAAAGAATTACTAACGATTATCTCTGGGCAAAGGCTTTGAGTTTTAACTTCATATCCATAAATATACTACCTGAGCAGATGTAATTTCATGTAACTCAAAATCAACTTCTACTGTAGAAAACAAATGGGTGGAAGGGCTATCATTTACACCGTAAGCAATACATTGAATGCTCCTATACTTCACATATACCTTAAACGTCATTTTATTTCACTGTTTTTCCTGAACTCATAAGCAAATGTGTTGATAATTTTTAGCACAATGTACACCACTAAAACCACACAGTTAAATACAGAACTTTACAGCAGCCTAACAGAGTTCACATCAGTCCCTAACGAGAACCACTTCTCTGATCTCTAGAGCTACACTTTCTAAGTTCTTGAATATAAAATGTCCATCACCTTTAACTAAGATCTATTAACTTAATGCTGCTAAGAACTGTTCTCTTGCTTTCTACCTAAATATGTAAAGGAAAGTTCCTTTGCTTGAGAATCTTAAAGTTAACTGAGTATCATAGAAGATGGTTGGAGGAAAAGACAGGCTTATAAAATGATAGCTCACTCAATTTTACACTGAATACGTCTGCGACTACATTTCTAATAGGTAACAATATAGAACATGTATGTCCACATTTAAGAATCTTATGGTGGTCAAACAATGATGGGCTATATGGTAAATTATACTTTTTTTTGCTAAAAAACTCCTAACATTAATATTTTATGATCACAAAAGGCATAACAGTCTAAGAATATAAATACTTAAACAATACAGAAATGAATGAGTGGAGAGAAGAGTTGCAACGGATGTGCACAATGGGCACTGTTTAGTACAAAGCGTAGACACAGCCGTGCTCCATATGGCGAGGAGCTATTCTGAAACAAATGGGTCAAAATGCAGGCACAATACTACTATCAATTTTACAGTCACAATTTTGCAGTTATGTCAGAATTTCTTTTTAAAAAAAAAAGATTTATTTATTATGTACACAGTGTTCTGCCTGTATGTTTGCCTGCTTGCCCGAAGAGAGCACTAGATCTCCTTATAGATGGTTGTGAGTCACCACCATGTGGTTGCTGGGAATTTAACTCAGGACCTATGGAAGAGCAGCCAGTGCTCTTAACGTCTGAGCCATCTCTCCAGCCCCTATGTCTGAATTTCTTTGATTCGTACAGAACTGCTGCATCTTCCCTCTCCCTCATCTTGTCTCACACTCCACCAAAAAACTTAAGTATCATGAGGTTTATCTGCTTAATTGTTGCTTTCTTCCATAGCTCTTGGTTTTCTTTTGATTTTCTGGTCACCGTCCTAGTGTTTATCATCTTTAGTGTTCATTACTGTCTAGCGTCTCAACAATGGCATATATCATTGCCCTTCCAGCCTGATCAGCTCTAGGTACTGTTACATGGACAGGGCCTGCTTGTTGGGGTTTCTGTCCCACCTGGTACCCCACAGCCAGCAAGCCCCAAAGAAAATCACACAGAGATCTCCATAAGTTATAAAACTGATTGGCCCATTAGCTCGGGGTACTTATTAGCTCTTGTAGCTTATATTAACCCATTATTCTGATCTACTTTTGCCATATGGCTCAGTACCTTTTTCAGCTGGCAGGTCACATCCTGCTTCCTCGGTGGTCTGCGCAGGACTGGGAGGAATCAACATTCTCCTTCCCAGAATTCTGTTCTCATTGCATCATTTTTACTTTCTGTCTGATTTTCCCGCCTACACTTCCTGCCAGGCCAATCAGCATTTATTTAAGACATGATTGACAGAATACATACAATTCTCCCGCACCAAGGCACCCTCCATAGCTGTGACTGACTGGAAGATCTCTTTTTTCTTGCTCTCCATAGTTAGACCTATTATATCTTCAATCCTACATCTTAGTCTACATAGGATTTTCTGAAGAACATTCTTAAATAAACTCCTAGAAACAGTATGCCACACAAAACACCTTGCTGTCTGGAATACTTTCACTATATTCCCAGTACATTTTATAGTGTATGAGTGTTAAGTTCAAAGACAGAAGCAATTTCTCCTCCGTGTCCTGAAAGTGCCACCCTCCTATACAAAACCTGTCGCCATTTTGCAGCTTCAGTGTAATCCCATTTTCTCGCATTCAACTTCACTTTTCAAATTTTAGAGTTTTCATTTTAACACTAGCTACATTTAAGTATCACACCCTGGTATTCCAGGCACTATTCAAACTAAAGATTGATTATTTTCAGTTCTGGGATAATTATTTTCCGTTATTCTCAGCGATTATCTCCACTCTCCACAGTTCTCTCTCACATTAGCCAGGTCCAGGTAAAGTTTAAGGCCAAGGAGTTCTATGGTGATTTGCTACTTAGCAGCAGACAACTAGTATTTTGTCTTTGGGGGCTAAAGGCCACATAGGAGATTACTTTTCGTGCCATAATGGTATAGGTCACTGAAAAAGAGTTGTGTAGCCTTGGCTGTCCTCGAACTGGCTCTGTAGACCAGGCTGGCCTCAAACTCACAGAGATCCACCTGCCTCTGCCTATCATCTTCTTCATGACTACTTGATTAGCGTTCTTTCCTGAACCTAAAGCAGAGTTCTGAAACCTAAGTCCCCATTGTTCTACCTTATCTTCCCCAACAGCCAGGGAGAAAATAGAGAAAACTGAAGGCAGGAAGAAAACAAGTCCTTCATTGTCCGCACTCTTCCTTATCCTTTCAACTACTAAGAGGACGGAGCACCTCTTCTCTACAGCAGTCCTCTGGCCGGAACCCTGACCTCTGCAGCCTCTTCCCATGAGGGATCTCCCTTCTTATTTATAACTTTTACCCTCCAATTGTGCCTGCCTCTTAGCATTTGATACACATGGATTTCTTAAAATAATTTAACCATCTTTCTTGACTATTACACTCCTGTGTGCTACCTATTAGCTGTGCTCACTAAAAGGGGAAAATTCTGAGTGATGCCAACTTTCCAACTGCAGTGGAGTGATAAACAGTGTTCCTCACTGAACCTAGGAATACTGAAGGAAATGGCTGAAAGGGAAGGGATTACAACTAGTCTGCTGAATTTTGGGATGCTA